GGACAGCACGGGCTTGGACTGGGGAGCCCAGCCTTGAGGGCGTGTGTCCAGCGGGCTCTCTCATCACCCTGCCCTTGACGCGCTGTGAGAGATGGTTTGTTCTTCGTGCATTCGCTCGTGCAGCCGTTCCATGTCTCAGGCATTCCCCTGCGTGCCAGGCTCCGTTCTAGGCGTGGAGGACACAGAGATAAATGCCCCTGCAGGTGCAGCCTTGGATCACATTCGCTCCCTCGGCAGCAGTTCCATGTTGATGGCTCGAGTCGGTCTTTCTGCTGACCGGTCCTTGGGCCACAGAGGGTGCCTGTGCAGCAAGCCAAGGGCCACACCTGCAGCCTTCCTGGCTGTACAGTGTGGGGGGTGGGCTGCTGTGGATGGGATTGGCCCCTCCAGGAAAAGGAACATCGGACCTGGCGTGGATTGTGACCACTTCGGTAGTCCAACCTTCTGGAGTTTTAGAACCTCTCATGCCTAGGTCTCCTCGGCAAATTATCGCCCAGCCCCACGTTGGATGCTGAAGATGGGGGGCAACTAAAACCCATTCCTGCTTTCAAGCAACCCCAGTCTGGAAGGAAGAGGATGCACTCCTACCTGTGGTCACAGGTAGGAGTAGGACAGAAGCAGTAGGAAACATATCCCATTGCCCTGGGGCCTGGCTGCTTCCAGTTCTGCGAGATCCAGACCCAGGCATGTTGGAAGGCTTAGGCCCTCTCCAGAGCTCAAGGGCCACCAGGTGCTACTTGCTGTCAGATATGGGAGGGCAGTCCAGCAGCTCATCCCCAGGGCTCCCAGACTACCTGCGGGGGGCGGGGGGCGGTGCTCAGCCATAACTCCCTGAAAAGTGAAGGGCCTTCCAGAAGCCCAGGCCTGGGAGGGGCCACAGTTCCTGCTGACAGTTGAACGATAAGTGTCACGTTGAGGTTATCATCCTTGAATTGTTGACATCTTATTTTTAAAAACTAGATTAATACAGATTTGTGGCCTTTTGAAAAGAAGATTTGCTATGTATCTGTGCAAGCCAGGGTTGCACGCCGTGGATGTGTGTCAGCACTGGCTGGCTTCACGGAAGTTTGTTAGCTCTTCTTTACCCACTTGGGTGCGTACCCTAGCACCCCGCTGGTCGGCAAGAGCACTGGAGAGTACAGTGACCTTTCATTAATGAATTGCCTTCATCAAGGTCAGCCTTTTCGGAAAACAAAGAGCAAACAAACTCCATCCCTCACCTCGTGTTAGCCGTTTGTGACCAAAGTAGTTCCGTGAGATCATCCGCCTTTTGTCCTTGCCCAGGGAGGTGGGGAGGAAGGGGACCGGGCCACCTCACAGAGTCCCGAGGGCTCTTTTTGCCCTCACCTCCCCTCTGCAGAGACTCCAGGCTGTGTCACCCTCGCACACAAGGAACTTCTCATATTTGGACTTTCCAGGTCATTAATGTGGCTGCCAAGGAAGCATGACTGACAGAGAAGCATGGCTGATTCCTCGTGATTAAAATATAGGCTTTGGGGCCGGCCTGGTGGCGCAAGCGGTTAAGTGTGCGCGTTCCGCTGCGGCGGCCAGGGTTCGCTGGTTCAGATCCCGGGTGCGCACCCGACGCACCGCTTGTCAGGCCATGCTGTGGCGGCGTCCCATATAAAGTGGAGGAAGATGGGCACGGATGTTAGCCCAGGGCCAGTCTTCCTCAGCAAAAAAAGAGGAGGATTGGCAGATGTTAGCTCAGGGCTGATCTTCCTCAAAAAAAAAAAAAAAAAAAAGTAGGCTTTACCACTGACCCTGCCTGAGATCCAACAGTAATCTTTCTTCCACCATTCTTCGTTCGCCCTCTTCGTCCCCTTTTCCCCTCACTTTCTCTTTCGGTGTAGGCTAAGTGAGATAGTTTATTGTTTTCCCATTGCTGCTATATCAAACTACCAGGACTTGGTGCCTTAAAACAACAGAAGTTTATCATCTGAGAGCGCTGGAGGTCAGAAGTCCAAAATGGGTTTTACTGGGCTGGAATTAGGTGTCGGCAGGGCTCTGTTCTGGAAGCTGCAGGGGAGAATGGTTATCTTGCCTTTTCCAGGTTCTCGAGGCCACCTGCGTTCCTTGGCTTGTGGCCCTACATCCTTCTGAGCCCTGCTTCCATCATCACATCTTCTCTGACTCACACCTCCCTCTTCTAAGGACCATTGTGATTACATTGGACCTGCTCGGATAATCCAGGATCATCTCCCCAACTCAAGATCCCTAAGTTAATCACATCGGCAAAGTCCCTTTTACCATGTAACCTCATGTGGTCACAGATTCCCGGGATCAGGACCTGGACATCTTTGGGGGCATTATGGTGCTTACCACAGAAAGCCTTATTTATTTAAGAAGAGACTAGTAAAGAGTTTGATTATTTTTTGTCGTTGAACTTGGTTTAAGAATATAGAAGATGATCCATTGGAGGAACAAAAGTATTGACTGCTCCAAGGAAATAATGGGATTACCTGTAGGAAAGCAACCTGTAGAAAAATGTACAATTAAAAGGAAAATTATAATACTTCTTGATCAAATACTTTTGCAGGGTTACAGTACAAAATAATGTGGGTTAATTGTGTTTGGCAAAGAGCTATGTACAGCCCTGTCCAATGGATCACTCTGCAGCGAAGGAGATGCTCTGTTTCTGTGCCGTCCGGTGGGTAGCCAGCAGCCTCGTGTGGTTGCTGAGTACTTGAAATGTGGCTCATGCAACTGAGGAAGTGAATTTTAAAATTTAATTAAGTTACATTTAAATATAAATTGTTACATTTAAATATAAATAGCACAGGCTGGAACAGGGCTCCTAAACTGGATTCTGTGGGCAGGCTTTAGGAAGGCGTCAGTGAAGTAATTTGCAGAGTTTTATCCCCTCAGGGAAGGGTCAGTAGCTTTCCTCAGATTCTCAGAAGGCTTCGTGACCCAAAAAGGTTAAGGGCCCAGGTCCAGAGGAAAGCCACAAAGAACACGGGGTCGCACACAGAATGCCTGGAGCCACTCTTCTTGACACTGCAGGAGCGGGGCTGCGGTGGTCGCTCCCGGTGAAGGAGCGAGCTGGTGAGTGAGCGAACTGGTGTCAGAGGGTAGGACGTGGGGCCCTTTGATTTAGGGGCTTGGCTAAAGGAACACAGAGGGCTGTCAGTCAGTTACCAAAAGAGCCGGTGCAAACATGCCTGTGTGTCCAGACGGCTGACTAGGGCGGCTCACCTCAGGGGCTGAGCAGGCCCAGAGTTGGGGCTGCTTAGGGAATCACAGCGTCTCAGAGGGGGCAGGCCAAGGGGTCATGGTCATCACCCCACCCCCCCTGTGAGTTCTCTCTTTATCCACCCTTGTGTGATGCTAGAACATCCCGGTCCCAGAGAATGCTGCCTTCTGTGGCACCCAGATCCATTTAGGGTAACTTGAGCTTTGCTGGAAAGCTTTTCCTTAGATGATAACAGCAATGTTGTTACTCAAAATAATAATGGTGGTTAATATTATTGAGCACTTCCTGTGTGCCACTGGTCACAGGTTTATTCCTTCTCCTACTAGGAAGACATAATTATCCTTAGGCACGTTGGAGCTGGAGAACTGAGCTCAGGAGGTGCTATGGCATCCGTTGTTCCTGCAGTTAGTGAGCGGCCGAGCCAGGATTTGGAATCAGGGCTGTCCGACTCTCCCCACTGCCTTTGTATTCTGAAACTCCCCCCCAGCTCCTGCTGCTCTGGTTCTGACCCAGGAGCTCTGGAGAGAAGTCCAGACTCTCTCGTTTGCCCAGTAGCATTCACGTATCTGACGGCGGCTCTTCTTGGCAGTTTGGAGGTGGGACGAGCCGACAGGCGTACTAAGAACTGACCTGTTTGGCCCTCTCCTGTTTTTACCCATAAAAACCCCGCCTACTTCCCAGCTCACATACTGCTTCCTCTATGAAACTGCTCCTCACCTCCTTAGTCTGCATTATCATGCCTCTTATGTTCTGCCCACAGCAAAGGGCTCTTTTCCTGAAATAACGTTGTATCTTCTCCCCGTGTTATTGTTTGATTGGTGTGTGTCCATCTTTACTGGCACGAGTCAGTTTCAGTTGGGCGTGTAGGTCAGCCTTGGAACTTGAAAAAGGTTGCTGCCTAGGCCGTGGCCCAGACTCACTGAATCTGATCTGGCACATAGATCATGCTTAGTGAATACCTTATGTGCCCCATCTCTCAGTAAAGAAGTCACCTTACTTGAGTCCTTTCAAAGTATTTGAAGTACTTTCTCAATTTCTTGTTTTTTCCCCTGAGATATAATTGACATGTAACACTGTGTAAGTTTGAGGTGTACAAAGTATTGGTTTGATACATGTGTATACTGCAGTGTGGTTGCTACAATAGCGTTAGCTAACACCTTTATCACGTCACCTAATTATTTCTTTTTTGTGTTGAGAACAGTTAAGATCTAGTCTCTTAGCAACTTTGAATTTTATAATACAGTATTGTTGACTATAATCACTATGCTGTACATTAGTCATTTGCTTCATTTTAAATAAAATATTCTTGAGGAGATCATATGGACTTTCCTTGGGGATGTCCTGTTGTCATGAAATGGGTACTGGTGGCTTGGGATAAAATTTCCAGTGACTCTTTCAGACATGGATTCAAAACAGGTGTATCTCCCACTAACGGTGCTCAAAAGTAACAGCTGAAATGCAGGATAGTGGCCCAAATCAATTTCAGATACAAACAAGTCAGACCTACATTATAATGTGCTATTTTATGCTAAGCAAATTATCTGAGACTAATAATTCAAAATGAGGTGTATGTAGAAATAAAATCTAGTGGTATTCTAAGTGAGTTCATTTGAACTGTGGAGCACCAGTTAGCATTATGTGTGTCGTACGAATGAAGGAACGGGACGGGAGAGGTGTGCCAGGATGGCTTTGTCTAATGAGAATCATCGCTGAAGTCAAAGCTGTGCTTAGGAGGCCTTAACGAATGTTTCCCTTCTCTTTCCTTCCCCACTGGCTGCTTCCTGACCCACCGCTCTTGCTCCAGGATTTGCGCAAGCAGGTAGCACCACTGCTGAAGAGCTTCCAAGGGGAGGTAAGCGTTTATGTTTACTTTATGTCCCGAGCCACTCTTCATAGTTCATCGCACTTTCTTTTTATTCTCATTGAATAAATGCCATTGACAGAAGGTGCTTACCCAGATGGAGCCTTCCCAGCTGCCCCGACCCAACGTCGGTGCAGATTATATGCTTCTCAATGTGGTGTTTCCACTGGGTCTTCGTTCAAGCCCACATGGAAGGCAAAGCCATGTTCAGAATGTAAGAAAGTGGTGGATTCAGGGGAGACGCGGCCGGCGCGGTTGCGCTTCTCACGGTGGCCTGAGCTTGTTCAGACCGCGGCCTTTAGGAGCTCACGATCCTCCTCCAGCTCCCTGGCCCCTGAGCTGGTCTGGGGCTGCTGCCACCATGAGGCCTCCTGTGTGGAAGGATGGAGTGAGGCGGTTGGGTGCTTTCACGTACGGCTACTGGGGGAAGAGAAATTTCTCTTGGTTGAGGCTTAAAACAAAGAACAGGTAGACGCCGTGAGGAATAAGTTTGGGCTCAGTGTAAGGAAAAGTTGTCTAATAGGTCCTTCCAGAGAAGGACTCGGCAAGATGGCAGGCGGGCGGCCAGTCATCTGAGACGCATGCCCTGGCTACTGTTAACGGGAGTAGTGTCCACAAAGATGACGGGTGGGTGAGGGGTGACACTCCAGCTCCTTCCCAGCCCTTTGCACAGAGAATCTAAATTTTGGAAAAGCAGAAAGTTTGTTATTGTTGTGGAGTTACTCACTCTTGGCTCTTAGCTTCTCCCGTTGGAATGATGGAAGTCGTAATAATACTGAGAAGAGGCAGCAAGGCTTTAAAATCTCTGTAAAGCACCCATATTGGTGGGATCTTAGGAATTTTATGTTCTTGCAACTACCCAGTTCACAGCACAGGGAAGGCGCAGGATTCGGGGAAGTGAGGTGGCAAGTTCAGGAGTGATGGGAGGTGGCAGGCTGAGTGGGGTGCCCTCTTGGCCACATTGCTGAGGAGGCTGGAATCCTGGGCCCAGAGCTCCAGAGCAAGAGGTCGAGGCTACGGTTTGGCACATTCTTCAGCATGCAGGTGACAGCAGAGGATGAGGGAAGGAAGGAGGTGAATCAGGGAGATGGCAGCGGGGGCGAGAGGAGGCGCCAGGGCAGTGAGGGACCATGCCAGAAGATGCAGGCAGCGGGGACCACCGGTGATGGCTGAAGGTTGTAGACCGTGCAGCCGGGCTCTTCTCTCTGCTCATAATGTCCCGCGAGGACGCCCCTGTCCTTAGCTCCGTCAGGCACAGGAGGATATCAGGGGCCCGGCTCTTGGAAGGACTTGAATTGCCCTTTCCCCAGAATTACATCTCATTCTGTGAGTCAGACCGGCACCTTACACCTCCCCACGCTCCGTCTGATCTCTTCTTCAACCTGTCCAGCAGCTTTTATGGGCCCACTGGCTTCGGATTTCCCTAGCTGAAGTAGCTCACTGCGCTTTTCTTGTTGTTTGCTTGTTTCTCCTTCTTTTTGGAGAATTTCAAATCTACGTGAAAGGAGAAACATCCGTATAACAAGTATCTGAGCCTCACCTTACCCGGCCTCTCCACTTGGTAACATTTTGCCACATTTGCTCCCCACCCCGCTTTTGCTGAACATTGGAAAGTAAGTCTCAGGTAGTGCACACCACACACTTCAACACCTGCATGTGTCTCCTAAAATGAAGGACATTCCCAACATTTCCACAGTAACCCCAAGTATCACACCTGGGAAGATAACACTAATCCATGTTAGGTGATATGCAGTCAAAATCAAATCCCCCCAGTCACCCCCAACACGTCTTTTATAGCTGTCCTGCCCCCAACTGGGGCCTCATTGGGTGCATACATTCCATTTGGGGAGATATATATACACAGATATTTGTCTTTATATTATGGAACACTCTCTCCATCCCCTCTCACTTTTGTTATTGTTTTTTATTACGTTGAGTTTTGTGGGTTTTTTTAAGAATCTAAGCCAGTTATCTTATAGACATTCTGGATGGGTACTGGGTTTGGTTCTGGATTTATTAAATTTGAAGTACCTGAGAGACATCTAGGCTTCCAATTTTCCCATTTTTTTAAAGGCTATTTGAAAAGTAAATATTTTTATAGCACCATTAATTAATATTTGCCAAGTCTCTGCTAATTGCTATATTTACATTAAATAATTTGTGCTTTCTAGTAAGCCAGTTTGAGTAGAAGAGACTAAATCCTCCTTGTTTCTGATTTTGAACTTTCATGGCAGAGGGTAACCGCAGATGGGGACCTCGCTGCCAGGGTCGGTTTTCTGATGAGAAAGGCCAGAAGGCGGCATGTCTTGGTGTTTAGATGGGGCAGGATCCATTCAGCTGCTTTTTCTAAAAAGCCGCCTTCTGTATCAAAGGCTTTTTCTTGGACCCTTCATTAGTGTCTGTGGAATGCGATTTTATTTCTGGGGTATATTCTTTGAGCTCATCCCAAGGTATCTGAGTCCCCCTTGGAAAAATGTACGGTGTCAGTGAAAACATGTTCTTTGCCTCAGAATCTGTATAGATTGCGTCCCTTTTTGAGATCCCCAAAAGAAAAAACAAAACAAAACTAAGTTTTCAGACAACAAGAAATTCACAGAGGACTTTAGAGTTCCTGCAGGAATGTTATATGTGATGTTATAATGTCATGGGAAACGTTAACCTGGCCAGAGTACCACTTACCCCCCCATAGTGGTTCTCGGTGTCAATCCAGATGCCTTCCTTCCTGTGGTTTGTGAGACCCGCACGATTCCATGACTGCTTACCTTTCTAGACTCCTCTCACTGCTTGCGCCCCCTCACTGACACGCAGCCATTCTGAATGTGCCAGGCCCTTGTGCCTTGGGCATCCTCGCCAGCCTCCAGCCCTTCGCACAGGCTGGCCTGCTTCCTGAAACGCTCCTTCCTCCTTCCACCTTACCTGGTCACTTCAGCTTGGGTGTCACTTCCTCAAGGAAGGTCTCTAAACACCAAATGATAGGCCAGGTCCCCTCTACGATGTGCTTTCATTGCACCCCATGCTACTGGTGACAGCATTTGTCATTGTGCCTGAGAGCCACCTGTCACTTTGTCTCTCTTCCCCATTAGTCCGTAAGTATGTGAAGGCAATCGCTGTCTTCTCCTGTTGGCCATCACATTCCCAGCACCCAACGCAGCAGCTGGAACTGAAAAGTATTGGGCTCTCAAAAATGGTCACTGAAGAGATGCTTGAACAGCGGGGTTCCTCTGGAGGCGATTTTTAAAACATTTTTGCCCCTATCCTTTCTTTAGGTTGTGTTGCTGTTAATAAGGTGAAAGGGACCCCAGAAGATAGGCTCAGGAAATACTTTTAGAAGAAACTAGTAAATAATTGTATTTGTTGTCTTTGGTAGAAAAATTTGAAATGCTATAATGGTAATGATTACTCGTAATTATTATAGCAAAGTCATCAAATTTAACTCACTCTGAAATCAGATTTATTTCTTTATTGCTATACCTAAGTCTGTGTGTTTCACAAGCCCAACCAACTGATTAGTAGAGGGAAGGGGAATAACCTAAACAGTCAATCCAATTTAAGGCTTATTTTAGTCTAGTAATTTAGACAATCCCTTCAGGAAAGTGACACCCACACTCTCTAAGTCTTTCAAATTGTCGCCCCCCACCCCCACCCCCGCTTCTCTCTCTGAGAGGGGTCTTGGTGTAGAAGGTCGAGGGGGTAAGGCATTGGCTTAGGCCATACCCCTCCTTGCTGTAGGGGAGCTGGTGCTTAAACCAACGGTCCTCAGGAAGGAAAATCCTCTTAAGAAATAACTTAGGTGCTTATGTTAGAGGGAAAATAAAAGACTGAAAATCCGTGAGCTAAGCATCCAGCTTAAAAAGTTATAAAAGTACAACAGAATAAGCTCAAAGAAAATAGGAAGGAGGAAATAATAAGTATAATTAATAATAATAATAAAAAATATAAGCATGAAAATGAATGAAAAAAACAAAAGACCCAAGAGAGAAACAGCCCAAAAGTGGGTTCTTTGAAAAGACTACTATAATAGACAAACCACCTTCCTAATCAAGAAAATAAAGATTAGGAATGGAAACGAGGATAACTTTGTAGCTGCAGCAGAGATTAAAAAGATAATAAGGGAATATTGTAATCAATTTTATGCCAGTAAATTTTAAAACCTAGACAAGATGGACAAATTTCTAGATTACTATAACATACCAAAGCTGATTAGAGAAGAAGTAGAAACCCTCAATAGCCTTATAACTATTGCAGAACTATTCCCGCAAGGTCTAGACAGTTTTATGGGAGAGTTTTATCAATCATTCATGAAACAGATAGTTCTAATCTTTTGCAAATTCCTTCAGAAAATAGAAAAAGGGAGAACACTTCCTAACTCGTATACTAGTCCCTAGTATAACCTTGATACCAAAACCAGACAAGAAGAGTACAAGAAAGGAAAATTAAAATTCAGTCTTATTTATGAATAGATATGTAGAAGTCCTTAAAAAGGTATTAGTAAATTGAATCCATCAAGATTCATGTACCCAAGAATGCTCTTTGCTTTAACATCAGAAAAATTTATTAATTCAAATTAATATCATTAACAGATTAAAGAGGAAAAAATTATCTCAATGCTTATAGGAAGAGAATTTGATAAAATTCAACATTCATTCATGGTAAAAACTACCAGGAAACTAGGAATAGAGGAGAACTTCTTTTTTTGTGTGTGAGGACGATCAGCCCTGAGCTAACACCTATGTCAATCCTCCTCTTTTTCCTGAGGAAGACTGGCCCTGGGCTAACATCCGTGCCCATCTTCCTCCACTTTATATGGGACGCCGCCACAGCATTGGCCTGACAAGCAGTGCATCGGTGTGCACCCGGAATCTGAACCTGGCCCGCCAGCAGTGGAGTGCGCACACTTAACCACTACGCCACGGGGCCGGCCCCTAGAGGGGAACTTCTTTAACCTGGGAAAAGATATTTCTCCAAAACCTACATCAATCATCATACTCTGT